CCATGGAAAACCTGGAAGAGCTGGACGGTCGTTTCGTCCTATTATTGGACTCCTCAGCAGTACGCATCCACGATCCCGCCTCACGAGCGAGATTCGAACCCAGGACCTACCAGTCAACTATGTAAATAATATAGTTCAAAATCAACACTCATTCTTATCAAATCACTTCACTTATAACTAGTCACCTATCCATCGTCTGATAGAAATACATTCGAATAATTTAAGAATCTAAACTAAACAAGAATAAAATCTGTGGAATAACATGAATACATTATGTTTCAAGGCTTCTCACCAGCTGTGAATCAATTAAAGTTTTGTTAGTAATATTATTATAGAGCAAGCTTTATAAACCTTTTGTGGTCCAATGTGCTAACTTCAATTTGTTTGAACGTATGAATATGCTATGAACATAAATCTTCCATTTAATTCTATATATTAAACTTAGGTTTACCTTGTTTGCATGATTGCCAAATACGGTTTGAATTGGATGAGTACATTTCAGGCACACGTGTTTATTCAGTTAGAAATTAAGAATAAGAAGTGGGTAAACGAAGCGAACCATATTAAAACTTACTTACTTACTTACGCCTGTTACTCCCAATGGAGCATAGGCCGCCAATCAGCATTCTCCAACCCACTCTGTCCTGGGCCTTCTTTTCTAGTTCTATCCAATTTTTGTTCATTCTTCTCATGTCTGTCTCTATTTCTCGGCGTAATGTGTTCTTTGGCCTTCGGATCTCCATGTGAGGGCTTATCTTGTGACGCAGTTGAGTGATTTCCTCAATGTGTGTCCTATCCACTTCCAGCACTTCTTTCCCATTTCTTCCTCCACTGGATGAAATCTGGTTTGTTCTCTCCCACAGTACAATGTTGCTGATAGTTTCTGGCCAACGGATCCGAAGTATCTTGCGTAGACAACTGTCCAGCTGCATCCTAACTGTCCTCTGTATCTTGATCATATTAAAACAGTCAAGGTTAAAAAGTGAATAACTGACAAGGTCAAAATAAGACTCAAGAAGAATAAATAAATTGGTCTGTCCGGATGCTAGAATAACTCATTTGGGCTTAACATAAAACGAAACCATACAGACCTGTTATATCCAACTCACTCATTACTTATTATTGAAACAGAGAACTACTACACTTCCCACAACGAGAAGTAAGAACATCAAGACTAGTACAAGTAAAGATTTATTCATTCCCGAAAACACGATGAACTTAGTCGAAAATGCACACATTCATATATTGAACTGTACTCACAATTGATTGTAAATTAGTAAAAATTCATTGCAGAATAACAAACTCCGCCTGTAGCTCCTCCGGGAGCTACTACGGGTTCCAAGCCCGGGTAAAGGAGGGGGGTTGGGCATGGGGTTAGCGACCCCATCCCGAAGAAAACCAACTCGCTAAAAAAGCGCTAACCAGAATTAAAAAATTATTTAAGTAAGCAGAATAACACGTTGGGTGTCATGCTGAACATAGTTTACGTTAATTTAGTACAAAATTATTGTATCTTGAATAAATATCATATTGAAACAAATCAATGTTATCAGAGATGGATGGTGGCTAGCAGTGGAGTCCAGGACGCGCGTTTCGTCCCATTTTGGGCTCGTCAGCTGGATGTACCTGCATCTCAGAGTTGGTGTTCACTCTGGGACTCCAACCCAGTACCCTCGCTTCAAACGCTATCGCGTTATCCACTCGGCCACTGAGTCCTGATAGCCACTTACTTGTGCGATGGGGTGAAGTTTAAATTCAACTTAGTATTGTTTGTTTGAATCTCCCCATCGATTTGTTAGGACTGCAACTGGTCAGTCTCTAATTGGCATATGTGCAAACTGTGCGTATTGCCTCAATATACCTTAATTCACAAGCATGGTTAGCAGAGATGGAAAGTGGCTAGCAGTGGAATCTAGGACGCGAGGGCACTGGGTTCGAGTCCCAGAGTGAACATCAACTCTGAGATGCAGGTACATCCAGCTGACGAGTCCCAAACAAGACGAAACGCGCGTCCTGGATTCCACTACTAGCCACTATCCGTCTTTGTTTACCATGCTTGTGAATTTAAACTATATCGAGGCAATACGCACAGTATGCACATATGCCAATTAGAGACTGACCAGTTGCAGTCCTAACAAATCGATGGGGAGATTCAAACAAACAATACTAAGTTGAATTTAAATCAATGTTATGCTGAATAAAATGGCAATAAATAAATATTACAATGAATAATTATCATATAGAATTGAAAACGGAAGTAATTAACAGATATTGAATAAAACATAATTGCTAGCTAACGAATGATAATCAAGGCACATATTTATTTACGCCTGTTACCCTTTGTAAAAAAGCATAGGTCGCCTATCAGCATTCTCCATCCAGCTCTATCCTGAGCAATCCTCTCCAGTTGCTAGCCATCCTTTTCATGTCTGTTTTCATTTCACGACGCAATATCTTCCTCTCTTCCTTTTCTTTTCAAGATTTCAAGTTGGGAATTTCCTTGTGATGCAGTTTTATGTTTTCCGTAATGTATGACCTATCCACGACTTATAGACTATTACTATACGACTTATAATTCTTGAGTTATCCCATGTCTGTCAATTACTATCTCCCTTATTCACAGCCACATTTGGCTAAATCTTGTATATATGTTATTTTATATTTTATGATACGATGTGGTCTGTCTGTTTGGTACATAAATCGAGTATGTTTGAAATAAATGATTCATATTGCAGAGGCTGTTATTGGTATTCTGTACTTAACTGGCTGGGCTAGTCAGAAAGCAGGGCCGACAAGTACTCTAGACTGCTCACACAAGTTTTGTGTGTCATTGGTCCGGTCGATAATTCGCTGCTCTCTAATTGACGGGAATCATCGCGTTATACATTAACAGGGCATCCAGGCGGCCACAAGATATAACAGTCCTCACTTGGAATGCTTCTGTCAGCTGTTCTAAATACACAACTTTGCAGTGTAGTCCTTTGTATGAGTTTCGGATGATGTTGATGTTTCTTCTCAGGTATACCTTAGTGTCAAAATAGTTTCCATAGTGTTGTCCTACCTACGTTGTCAAACGCTTTCTCATACTCAAGGAAGTTGATGTATGGTGGCAAATTCCATTCAATTGTTTGTTCAACAATAACCCGTAATGTCACGATTTGGTTTGTCCACGACCGATCCTTTTGAAATCAAGTTTATTGATTTTGAAGTTAAGCATCTACTAAATCCTTTATCCGGTTCAGCAACGGTGTTGAGAAATTTTCCTGGTACCGATAGTAGTGTTATGTCTCTGTAGTCATTGCACCTACTGGGGTCTCATTTCTTTGGCATCTTGTTGAGGTGTAACACTATACTACTTCAATTCGGAAGAACACTTGGATACCACGAATAAGTTTATCCAATCCACTTTAAGACAGTTTTTATGTGATAACTATTGGTACTAATACTGGGCTGTTCAAACAAAAACAGGTGAAGTGAAATTCATGTCTGTGAACTAATAGTGGAGGTCTGAGTGTCTTTAGGAGTAGATTATGGACGACCTTTAGTGAATAAATCACGTTTTAAATGAAGGCCATTGGAATCCACGTTAAAATGAAATGTTTCTTTTACCATGCCAACTAGAGGCCTACCACAATTTTACTTATGTAACAGAAGTCAGGATAAAAGCGCTTAGTGTCAGAGGCTTATTTAAAGCGAACTAAATGTGATGTTCTCTTCTTATCATCCCCGTTGTGTTCACTATCTACTTAACGTTTAGTGATCGCACTTGTGAACATTGCTGTCTTTCAAACACTACTTTTGATCTGATCTTTAATTTTATGTCAGTTACGTTCCTCGATTATCATTCATTTTTTCATAATAATATTGAGTTGTATGCTACTTATGATGACGGATATAAGTAGTATGTAGCATCAGTTGGATGTGCGATACCTCACATCAGAAGATTGAAATGAAGAGGATAGAAAGGAAATCGGGAAGCAATCGAAATAAGAATAGGATTAGAAGAATAATGGAGTATGTAAAGGACAACACAAAGATATGCAAATGATGTATTTCATGTATGATCTTCTTAGTTTACTAAGCCACTGTGTGAGTTTGCATTGAAATCTTGATTATCACCATCAACTTCTCGTTCACTATAATATTGCTAATGTAGGTGTAATCCATTTAAAGATGAGAAGAATCCATGTAACATAACGAATTCATTTTAATCTACAAGTGTTATTCTTCTCACTTATGAGGAGTCCCATAATAGAACGAAACGGCTGTCCAGTGCTTCCAGGTTTTCCGTGGTGGTCTAGCTTCAATTGACTCATGATTTCAACTATGAAAATACTAAATTCTCCACAAAATCTCCTCTTCTCGCTTTGTTTAGACTTTTCAAGGGATCAAATTGTATGAAATATGCGCATTTTTACACATCAAGTCTAGTACAGAAGCTAAGCAATCGAAAACATCCAACTGTCTGTCAAAGTATCTTGCTGAATTTAAATTTAATGCTAAGATTTACTCATAACAATTGATCTATTCAAATATTTCTTAGGTGAAATAGATTTTGATATCTATTCATCTGTGAACGATATAAAATCGTCGTCATCATAAATCATATCAATAGTATAACTTATTTTAGTAACTCCGCCTGTAGCTCTTCTAGAGTAACTTCCGGTCCCAAACCCGGGTAAAGGAGGAGGGTTGGGCATGGGGTTAGCGACCCCATCTCGTAGAAAAGCTAACTCGCTAAAAAACGCTAACCAGAAAAAAAATAATTCAAACTCTGCACAGGGAGTTAAAAAAATAATTATGACGCCTCATGATGAAAGCTGAAATTTTTCAGAAGTCACGAAATCCATGCACCTTTTAATAACCAGAGCAACACTCTTTATAGGTACATGGAACGTCCGGACAATGTGGGAGACAGAGAAAACCAATCAAATAGCAATGGAAATGAGAAGATACAACTTGGCAGTATTCGGAATCAGCAAACACAGTTGGATGGAGAATGCTGGTGAGCGGCCTATGCTCCTTCAAGAGGGTTAACAAGCGTAAGTAAAAAAAGTATAACTTATTTTAGTAAGCTATAAGCTCAACTTTTAAAATCAGTTCATTAATTTAACATATTATCTTCTAGAATAATTACAATAATAATAATAATAATTACAACACACACACACACTAATGTATATCAGTGAGAATCATGGTCTTCTGGAACATGTTCCAATTCATGTAGTACATTGCATGTATCTTTAGGATGTAGAAACAGGACAGGTACCCCTGATGCTCCAATTTTCGGTTCAGCATTTAATGTTCTGATATTTTTTTCTTTTAAATGTTTTAAACAATTGTATATGTTGTCAACCTAAAGATGCAGTACACAATAAAACAAAGTAAATTAATTATAAAAGGTTATTGTAAAATGAATTCAAAAAATTACTAAATCGAATTTCGTGAGGCGAGGTCGGGGATGCGCACTGCTGAGGAGTCCCACAATAGGATGAAAGGGCCGTCTAGTGCTTCCAGGTTTTCCTTATTGATCTAGCTTCAATTATCTCATGATTTCAACTATTTGATGAGCCATACTATTTTTGTTTAGTATATCGTTTGTATATGACAGACTTAATTCTATAAAAATACGTTAAATTAAATTCATTTAGTATTGTTTGTTTGAATCTTCCCATTGATGTTTTTAGGACTGCAACTGGTCAGTCTCTAATTGGCATATGTGCATACTGTGTGTATTGCCTCGATATAGCCTGAATTCACAAGCATAGTAAGCAAATATGGTTAGTGGCTAGCAGTGGAATCCAGCTCGACGCGCGTTTCGTCCTATTTGGGACTCGATGGGAAGATTCAAACGAACAATAGCAAGTGAACTTAAGCTTCACCCCATTACACAAGCAAGTGGCTATTAGGACTCAGTGGCCGAGTGGATAACGCGATGGCGTTCGAGTCCCAGAGTGAACACCAACTCTGAGATGCAGGTACACCCAGCTGACGAGTCCCAAATAGGACGAAACGCGCGTCCTGAGGCCTACTAATGCAGAGGCTGCTGCTACACTGACTGTCTTCACCTGCCGACCATCAGAATCCTGGATTCCACTGATAGTCACTATACATCTTTGCTTACCGTACGTTAAATTAGTTTCCTAATAGATACCTATTTAGGGATATTTTCACGCATTAATCATTCATTTGGATGCTTTTGTCACTTAAGTAAGTTTATCAATCGTTTATGTTGTCGTAATAAAATTAGTTATCCGCTTATTGCTAAAAGTAATCGATATCAGTGTCTAATTAAAAACAAAACTCGTTACTCTAACTAGGTAGGCTAATATAACTTCACACTGAGGGATAACTCCAGTCAAATGATGATTGAAGATCAGGAATCACTGTGTTTTCTGTTAAGCAACTCTTTGACGGTAAGCATTCACAGCCCTACCATGTATTGAAAAATGGTATAGAGTTAACCATATAGAATTTTAGCGATAATTATAGATAAAACTATCATGTAGTTAATTATCAAGCTAGGAATGATGTAGAACTAACACTAAGGCCTATGTAATCCGATTTTATATGTTCAGTATGAATATCACAATCTCGTATGAGAACTTTTATTTTTTATATGAATAAGAGCCGTCAGGTATAGTGTGGTGGGGGTTACTTATATCCACATAAGTAGTATATGGTGATGGTCAAGCATAGAATGTAATTTGGTAGAAGATCGATAAGAAAAGAACAGAAACGAAGCGCAATCGGTATGAAAATGTATGAACAATGAAATCCAAGAAGATGGGCTGATATTTGCAAAAAGAACGGTTAAGAGTGAGACCATTGATTTTTATTTTGCAAATTAACTGTTTACTGTATGGTTATCAGATTTTAGTGAGATAGTTTGTAATTTGTGCTTAAGTACATTTGATTGTCCTCATTTGTGTTCTTGTTTACTACAATAGTACCACCGTACAGGAACTGTTGTATACAGTATTAGTTTACTCAAAAAAGGTGGAATAGGTTAGGAAAAAATACAATCAAGATAGTGTTTCAGTTCCTTATCTTTATCAAACAAACTTACTGGTTGTAATGTATAACTGTGGAAATATGCGGTGACACGTGGCTGAAATTTGACAGTAGCATTGAGATAGATAGTGTTTCCTGTTCATTTTTATCAGTTTGTATTATCTTGTGGTTGGAGTTCAAGAATCCAGTTGATCGGTCTCCTCTTGTATGTGATTATCTTATTCTCATTGCTTCAAAATCCCCCATTTATTCACAAACCCTCATAAATACAATTCAGACCCATTGGATAGGCTGGCATCTGTCTAGACTCAATAACATAATGGATAAAGCTTTATGCATTTAAACCAAAAAGTGGTAAGTTTCAGTATTGATGTTCATCTAAGTGATGAGTCGCAGATAGGACAAACTATGCTTGCTAAATTCCCCTTCTAACTTCTCATACAAGTTTACTGAAAAAACGTACTTCCTCTTTTTAGTTTAAGACTACTATTTCACGAGTTTACAGTTTTATTCTTTTCATTTCCAAACGGAATAGATCGAAATTTCTGTTAGATTTCTATTGTTTGATAATGAATATAGTCATATAGAGTTCATATCATTAGTCAGTTGAAGCTAGACTACCATTGAAAACCTGGAAGCACTAGACGGCCGTTTCGTCCTGAGAAGCAATAACCAGGGGAGTTCAACCACGTCTGTTGGGAGATATCAACTCACTGATGACATTGGTGAGTGGTTGCTCAATTTCGTGGATCGGTTGAAGTTAGACATTAACACCGTTGGATGCCAGCCGACTTGGTGGTCTATCGGTTAAGTGCTCTGGCGCGAGACTGATAGGTCCTGGGTTTGCATCTCGCGAGTGCGGGATGAAGGATGCGCACTGCTGAGGAGTCCCATAGTAAGACGAAACGGCCGTCCAGTACTTCCAGGTTTTCAATAGTGGTCTAGCTTCAATTGACTCATGATCTCAATTCTATAAAATTACTAAAATCTCCACCAAACTCCCTTGTGATAATGAATATAGTCATCGAAATTTTAAGTTCAGACTAGTTGAACTGTATACATGCGATGACTTTGAACCCGTTATATGGTAAATAAAAACCAGAGATCAATAAGATATAGATACTTACTTCAACACAAAGATGATGTAATCCACCATTCTTATTACTTTCTATAAATTTACTAATAGGACTATTATCACCAAGAGGTTGAATTAACTAGACAATTCATATTATGTATGATTAGAAGAAAGAAAACTTTGAGTTTACTTCAATATTAGCATTGCCTAGTCGTACAAACATTCTGATGAAACCATGTTCTTTAAAAGGCTACAAAAAAATAATAATAACAAGATATAATCAGTGATAAGTCTTGCTGATTAAACGCTATCCTCAGATTATAAGCTAGTTTCGAATGCTGGCGGGCGGTCCATGCTCCTCCACGAGGGATAACAGACGTAAGTAATGCCATGTATGGATTGTGGCGTAATTAGCTTTACTTTACTTCCGATATTTTTCGGTGGTTCGGTTGTGAATATATGGAAGATGTGCCTTTGGTCAAGTTATCAATGTTGGTAGTTGACCTTTGCTTTAATTCTGACATAGAATCTTTCTATACTTAAAAGAATAATGGAGGTTGTTAGAATGAACTATTCTGATAAGTCTTGTTAATTGAACGCTATACTCAGATTCTAAGCTAGTCTCGTAACCCCCAAACTAGAACTACACAGCGACTTGAACACGATAGAAAAGGCACAAAATATACGAGAAGCACTTTACTCCAAAGGTTCATTTATGTTCAGAAAATATAGGGTTTTTATAGTATTTTAGAAGTCCTTAGGTTTTCCTGAAAATCCTGGAATGTTACTAAACATAGTAGCAGTGTAGTAATCAGTCAATTAGAAACTCTACATGTGACTTTTCATTTTCGTGATGTTTCTAGCAAAACTTTTTTTCAAACGCTGATTGGATAAAATGCTTCTTAAAGTTTTCCTGAGCTTGTCATGTCTATTGCGAGAGATTTTCAGGGCCGCCCCAACAGAGAACTGTGACACCAGATTTGACAACAGAATATGAGGTGGGGATGGATGATGGCTAGCAACGAAATTCAGAACGCGCGTTTCATCCTACTTAAGACTCCTCAGTTGAATGGAAGAAATGCAAGAATGCAAGAAATTTTTTATGATCACCCCAACAATCATTATAAAGGGAAGTTATGAAAACTGTTGAATTTCTATATAGTTTAAATCCCCAAAAACTCCGCCTGTAGCTCTTCTAGAGTTACTTCCGGTCCCAAGCCCGGGTAAAGAATGAGGGTTGGGCATGGGGTTAGCGACCCCATCTCGTAGAAAAGCTAACTCGCTAAAAGAACGTTAACTAGAAAAAAATAATTCAAACCATTTAAACTCTGTACTGGGAGTTGAAGGAACAACTATGACGTCTCATGATGAAAGCCGAAATTCTTCGGAAGTCACGAGACCGATGCACCTTCTAACAACCAGAGCAACACTCTTTATAGGTACATGGAACGTCCGGACAATGTGAGAGACAGGAAAAACCAATCAAATAGCAATGGAAATGTGGAGATACAACTTGACAGTACTCGGAATCAGCGAACAGATTTGGATAGAGAATGCTGGTGAGCGGCCTATGCTCCTTCAAGAGGAGTAACAGGCGTAAGGAAAAAAAGTAAATTAAATCCCAAAATGATTTTAGTTAGATCATCAATAAAAGTCAGAAAATACTAGATTCCCTTGGTTACAATAATGATCTAACTAAGATCAGTTTGAGATTGAAATTATGAATCCTATACAATATAAAGAATGACAATTTACTTTTGGTTCGCTAACTTCAGCGTATAAAATATCTCGATAAAATGAAGCAGCTTTTTCTAGATCCGGTACAGCAATGGCAACATGATTTAGTTTGGTAATTTTCCAAGAATTCTTGAAAAAAAATACAATAAAAATCAATAAATTGATTTGTATTTGATTTATAGTAATCAATAAAGGGAAATTAAAATGAGCAGTTATTTATTAGACAGTAGTCACCAGTAATTAACTCCGCCTGTAGCTCCTATGGGGGGCTACTGCCGGTCCCAAGCCCGGGTAAATGAGGAGGGTTGGGTATGGGGTTAGCGACCCCATCCCGTAGAAAACCAACTCGCTAAGAAAAAACGCTAACCAGAAAAAAATATTCAAACCATTTAAGTAAGTCACTAGTAATTCTCTATCTTGTCTAGATGTAACAGTAGTTACTATCGACTAATATGCTTTTGATATGTTTGAACTTACTTGAAAATTAATCAGCAATAGAATTCGAAATAGTTTAATGCGCTTAGTTCAAGCATAAACTATTAGACTTATTATTACAGATGGTTTATAGAGATTGATGAACCTTCCATAGTTGACATTATGAACTGATCTTAGACATTCATTAAAAATAGTTGTGAAACATAGATAATTTATTTACATTTGAGATCTAAACCATTGGATATAGGCTCAGTGATTTAAAAACTCTAAGTTCTCTGAGCTCAGAGAACAAACCAACATCAAAATCACCCACCTGAGCTACAAATCTCCACTAATCTAATATGTATATTGCCTATTGTATAATTGTTAAGTAACTTAACTATTCATATTCAAGTTCCTTTAATTATGAGTTTTATTCTGACCAATAGACTATTACTGTACGATGAACCATTCCTGAGTTATGTCCAGTCTATTGACTACTGTTCCCCCTATTCACAGCCACATTTGGCCAAATCTTGTAAAAATGTGTATTTTCTATTTTATAGTACTATATGGTCTGTCTGTTTGATATATAAATCCAGTATGTTTGACAATAAGGATTCATATTTCAGAGGCTGTTATTAGTGTTCTGGACTTAACTGGCTGGGCTGGGCTAGTCAGAAAGCAGGACTTATATGTATTCAAGACTGCTCATACGGTTTTCGTGTATCACTTGTTCAATCGATAATTCACTCCTCTCTAATTGGCGGTCTTATCACGTCATATATAAACAGGACACTCGGGCACACAAAATATATCAGAAATAATTCATGTCATTCAGTATCGAGAAATGCATCAAGCTAAAGAAATGTCTCTTACTGAATCTTTCCACTTGTTCAGTTAATTTAATTGATATTGTATCATCAGTTGCATCGTTTTTAGGTGAAAAAAACGTCTAAACCCGACGAGTAAAATAAATCGAACATGGAAGACTGTAGTCAAATTTGATATAGTGGGGAGATACATCAAGGCCTTAATATATAGCTTCTCAGTCTGTTTTATTCACAGTGATTAGAAAGCAATCAGTTTTCCTTTTACTCTTCTTTCAATACATTAGCATTCAGCAGAGAGTACTTATAAAAGTGAGAAACCAAACATTCAGTCATCATAAGTAGGGATAATTTTCATAAGAAAACTGTAGGGAACAAAGAGAGTTCAATAGAGTACCATATGATAGGAGGATAAACAGTCAAAGTATGAGAAATTATAAATACAATCAGAAGAATAGAAATTAAAGTACCGAAAAAGTAGTTTAAACGTATGAGATGAGGGAATCGTTTCAACAAAGAAATATCACGATATACAACGCATAGGACACAAAATGGATGAAAAGAACTCAGACAGTTGATTACTAAGTAACGCAGTCAACACACAACAAGGACAGAAAGGGAGGAGTTAGAAAGTAAGTGACACATTTGGCAATAATCTTATACTTTTATCACAGGATCTTGAAAACTGTGTTGGAATTCGTGCATAGGTACTTCCTAAAATGGTTGTGTTCACTTGTTGTCAAGTTTAAACAATTTAAAATTTGAAAAAGCAACAGTATTAAGTAGAGGTTGTTGTAGATTTTTAGAACAGATGACACATATGGTAATGAGAAATACAAATATTATTTTGATCCTGGTTATAGGCAAGTGTTCGAATGTATGAAACCCATGAGAAGTTAGCTGTTTGTTATATTTTGATAAATAATTTTACCTACTTATAAGTAGTAAAACTTTTGAAGACATTTTTCGTTAACAACGCAAATTATGCACTTCTCAGAAGACTATTTGAACCAAGAAGTTTTAACAGCATATAATGTCTAAACTATACTACGCATAGAAATATAAGGATTACTAACAGGTAAATTTAAGTAAAGAAGAGTGGAGCTGATATAGCTTCAGACCACTATTTGGTGGTGTTGAAAAATAGGACAAACATCACTAAGAAAGTTTAATACAGCCTCCCTTTGAGATGCTAGCAAGCTCAGTAACTTCAAGATAACTCTTATCAGCCAGTTTTAAACTTTACAAGATCAATCAGACGGAGAGTAAACCACAATAGAGACATTCTTGTTTTATTTGCAACAGTATCTACGAGATCGATGAGCGGCTAGTTATGAATGAAGTGAGTGACGTATCAGTGGTTAAATAACGCTGTTCGATTGTTTGTTAAGAATTCAGTGTGTGAGTTAGTAAGTTCACAAAAAAGGCTTTCAAATGTCCTGGTACGGCCGAGGGTGGGGAGAGTTAGCTCCTTCTCTCAAAATGCTCTCACGTGGCCCCATGCATACAATCACTGCCTTCTCGCGGAGGGGGTGTTGTTTGCAAAATTGAGAGGATGAAAAGAGAATGTACGGCGCTTTAACCGGGCTGGTGAACACAGTGAGTCCACCTATGGGAGTTTGAAAATCCTAATTCCAAACCAATGGTGCACATAGGCTCCAGTATCCTGAAGGAACAAATGGAGTATGAACCAGTTGTTGGTCACTGGCTAGCATGAGACTGCATCACCTGATGTTGCTCCACTGCCTTGTGAATCTGATGTGCTTGATGCTATTACAAGATAGACTTACTTGGTAAACGGGACGAAGGTCAATGACATAGTGACACGATAGGCCATTCTAATCCATTGTCCCCAACCCGACTAACTAGCCACAAAATAGCGTACTAAAAATATCCGTCAACCAATGATAGTCAAGGAATTTCGAGTGGGAAATGTAAGCTGTAGGTCAACTAAGCGTTTATTGGCGCTAAAACACAAAATTCAAATTTTCAGAATAAAACTAAAAACGTAGGACCTATTCCAAGTGGGTGCTGGGGGCCTAACGTCCCCAACAGAATCAGACCTTTAGGTCGAAAGCTGCGGGTGTGGCTCCCTAAGAAATCCACTTGCTTCGGTCTGGGAACCCGGTCAGTATCACAGTTCGCATACAAATCAAGTGACTTGTGTGGCACATATGTATTCGGTACCACTTTTTTACTAACATTTACGTGTTCAAATAACAATAATATGACAAGAAATAAACTGACAGATTTTTATTTACTGGAAACTTCTTTGAAATCTATATTACCTGTTTTATATATTCATTTAAACACATAAATATTGGTGCAAAGGAGCACCAGATACATATGAGCCACACAAATCGAATGAGATTTGTGTGAGGGCTCTGATACTACCCCGGTGCCCAAACTGAAGCATGTGGTTTTCTTAGGGAGCCACAACCGGAGCCGTTGACCTAAAGGTCTGATCCACAAGGCAGTGGAGCAACATCAGGAGTTGAAGTCCCATGATAGCCGGTGACCAATAATTGGTTCATATGCCATTTATTCCCTCAGGATAGTGGAGCCCATGTGCACCATTAGTTTGGAATCAGGGTTTTCCAACTCCCCTAGGTGAACTTTCCGTGTCCACCAACCCGGTTAAAGCGGTTGACATTGGCTATTTGTCCTTTCAATTTCGTAAACAACAGTATTGCCAAGTTGACAACTAAATTAATTAATGATAAAATACATATAGTCAAATAATGAACTTACATTTCCTGAAAATCGTACTAATGAACGTACTACAGGACTAATTTTGCAAAGCTAAAATCCAGACATCATTTTTTTAATAAAAAGAAAACGGAAATTGAAATATGAAGTAAGTTGGAAATATTCATGAATGAGTAGAATTGTATGTTTAATAAACATGATGGAAAGCTAGCAAATACATTGGCAAATACACGCCGTTCAGTGCTTCTAGGTTTTCCATGATGATCTTGCTTCAACTGATTCATGATCTCAACTATTGAAATTACTATAATATCCACAAAACCCACTTCTGATAATAATCAACATATGCTAACTAGCAACTTGCTCCATGACGTATTTCCTGGAGTTGTAGTGAGAAGCAGTGACCAGTGGAGTTCAACTGGATCTGTTGTGAGATATCAACTCACTGAAGACAATGGTGGATGTGTCGCTCAATTTCGTGGATCGGTTGAGGTTAGACATTAACACCGTTGGATACTGCCGCCTCCGTGGTCTAGAGGTTAAGCGCTCGCGTGTGAGACTGATAGATCCTGGGTTCGAATCTCATGAGGCGGGATCGTGGATGTGCACTGCTGAGGAGCCCCACAATAGGACGAAACGATCGTCCAGTGCTTCCAGATTTTCCATGATGATCTAACATTAATTGATTTAATTTCTCAACCATTAAAATTACTATAATATCCACAAAACCCCTTCTGATAAAATACACTTACCATTCAATTGAAATAATGAATGACCAACATAAATATTGTATTTGACCTTTATCGATTATTATTATCATTATTATTGACTTTTGATTGGTTAATAATTTGTTTACTCGATTTTTATTGGTTAACAATAAGTTACCTTGAAAAAGCTTGAACCAGATTGCCAGGTGAAATTCATTCGCTGAGATTTTACAAATACATTTCCTTCCTATTTAATGTCTGACATCAACTCGGCGCTCACTCTAATTTAGACGACATTCTTATAACAATAAGTTCGTTTAGAATGTATTCCTTGTCGTTTCATTGCGTTTTACAGATAGATTGGACAGTTTTCAGTTTGAACTTTTATATTTAGGATATACTTTCATTATTTTATTTACTAATATGATTGGATTAGTAATAGTCCCGAACGTTGCTGCTACCTTGACGTGGTGGCCGGGCTTGCCTATCGTGATGATCCAATCGAGCTATGCTGGCTGGAACAATCGTTCCTCAAGGTCCTACCATGCCAGACAGGTGGGTTGAAGATCGGTAAGACTAAAAGCAGCAATCCCAAGGTCCGAAGGCGAAGTCGTACTGCTGACTTTACAGAGGTGTGACAGCAGTAAGGTGTTTCCTTCAGACAACCAGCATAACAGCGATGCTGCCTTCCCACAAGGAGGGGTGGGGTTAGAAAAGGTCAACCCTAAAAATGCACACCTCACCTTATCCCACGGATTTCCGTCTCCGGCGGTAAGGACTTTTGAAGAACGGAGCTAACACATCAAAAATCCCCCACAAAAAGGCCGTGCGTGACCGGCCTGAAGCAGTTGTCCCTTGGGCACTGCGGTCACGCTCCCAGGTCGTTAAGACCAACACTAATCCAACTTCTTTTTCAGGTCCCTCAAGAAATACCCTTCCACGGTGTGGGCAGCCGGAAAGTGATATTAGCCCTCATACCTGTAACAGCACACGAGACCAAGTTGGTCACTTTCAAATCCTTCCTACTCCTAATAACTCTCTTATCTCCACGACTAACCCTTCCCACGTCCTTTTATCACCTCGCACCGCTAGGGCAAACGATTCGAGTACACAGAACGTTATTCCTGGTCTCCTGAAACCACGCTCTAAACTACATATAGGAACTTTTAATGTCCGAACATTGTGCCAAATAGGACAACAGGCTTCCTTAGCTAGGACTCTAGAATCTTACACCATCGATGTGTGCTGCGTCTCCGAAACGCGCATACAAGATCCGAGTAGTGTCATTCATTTGACCTCACCTAATCAAAATAAAGAACCATCTCGATACACGCTTCGTGTATCTGGAAGCCCTGACGCTGCTTCCCGTGGCCTCGCTGGAGTAGGTATAGCATTAAGTCCTAGGGCAGAACTGGCTCTTTTAGACTGGATCCCAGTAGACAGTCGTCTATGAGCTGTCCGACTAAACGGATCAGTAAGGACCCGGAAAGATAGGGAAACTCGTCGTTGACTCTTCGTTGTCTCTGCCTACTCTCCCACTGACTGCAGCTCAGACGATATAAAAGATGAGTTCTACAGGAACCTTTCTGACCTTCTCCGAGAAGCTAGGCGTTCTGATGTAGTAATAGTGGCTGGTGACTTTAATGCTCAAGTAGTTAAACTAAGTGAAAGGGAAGGACACCTGGGTGGATCTTATGGTGTCGTGGCTAAAAGAACAGATAATGGCGACCGTCTGTTGCAGCTATGCTCAGATAACCGCCTATTTCTTGCAAATACTAACTTTAAACATAAGGAAAAACATCTTTTGACATGGCGTCCCTCGAATTCGTCCCAACGTTGAACCCAATTAGATCACATCGCTATCAGCCACCGATGGAGGGGCTCGATAGAAGACTGTCGCTCATTCTGGGGCACATGTTCAGATTCAGATCATGCTCTAGTGCGAGCACGTATCTGTCTGCGTGTTACTAGACGTAGGAAAGACACAGCAGGGAAGCCTCTAAGGGTTCTACTTAATGATAGGCAAGCTAAGAATATATTTCAGGAACAACTAGAAAAACAGTTAGGCAGCCATGTAAGTTATGTCCACCCCAAGGCAGAGTGGAATGACATCCGAAAAGCTGTGGAAACAGCAGTGATATCCGCTAGTAAGGTAAGCCATAAGGTCAGGGAGAAACAATGGATCTCGGCAGCATCTACCGCACTGATAGATGCTCGTAAACTCATCCCACCTGGCTCTGAACATAACGAAGAGCGGAGTCAGCTTAAGCGAAGGCTAATAAGAAGCCTACGCAATGATCGTGAACAGTGGTGGGTAGCGAAAGCAAGAGAGATGGAAAAGGCAGCGGCAATAGGTAACAGTAGGCAGCTATTCAGACTCGTTAAAGAAACTGGTATTAGGAACCCGAATATCAGTGAAACCATCTCAGATAAAGATGGGCATATTATTCATTCTCAATCCAGGAGATTGGATCGATGGGCAGAACACTTTAGGGATCAGTTCAACTGGCCTTCAGCCACACTTCAATTACCCACGATCCCCAGTCGTCCTGAATGGCAAATTGAGGTAAGTCCTCCAACTCTCTACGAGGTTGAAAAAGCTATAGGAAATCTAAAGCGAGGGAGAGCCGCAGGCCCTGACAGGTTTACCCATGAGATTTTTAAGGATGGTGGTCCAGTACTAGCAGTGAGATTGACTGAGGTCTTAGGTAGAATCTGGGAACTGGACGTAATTCTATCTGACTGGTCCCAATCACTGACTGTGCCAGTCTATAAGAAAAGACAAAAGTCCTCCTGTGACAATCACAGAGGGATCAGTTTGACTAATATAGTGTCTAAAATATTAGCTTCAATAATACTAGGTCGCCTAACCAAAGCTCGTGAAGAGCAGACTAGAGAAAACCAGTCTGGTTTTCGACCTGGACGTGGTTGCATAGACCAGATATTCACCCTACGTCAGGTTCTAGAACATAGACACAAATTCAGACGTCCCACAATAGTAGTATTTCTTGACCTTGGAGTGGCATTTGACTCCGTTAATCGTGAGGTTCTATGGCAGTGTTTGTCAGTGAAAGGAGTACCAAAGAAGTACATTAACCTCATAAAGGCTCTCTACTCGAACACAACTGGTCGAGTTAGAGCCTATGGCGAACTGTCATCAGAACTGATTACCACAAGTGGCGTTCATCAGGGCTGTCCACTCTCCCCATTCTTGTTTAACTTTGTCATTGACATACTTTTAGAGATAGCACTTTCATCAGCTAATCCTCCAGGAGTTGAACTTTTACCGGGAGGCACACTTGTTGACTTAGAATACGCCAACGACATAGTTTTATTCGGTGAAGACGCTGACAACATGCAGAGTCTTCTGACCACTATAAGCAACTATGTAGGCATGTTCGGAATGCGATTCTCTCCCTCGAAGTGCAAAATGTTACTTCAGGATTGGGTTGCAGCGACACCTGAACTAATGATAGGGAGTGAAGTAGTTGAGCGTGTAGACCACTTCACTTATCTTGGGAGTCTCATCAGCCCTTGTGGTCTGGTATGTGACGAAATCTCAGCACGGATACAGAAGGCTTGTCTAGCTTTCACCAACTTGCGTCATTTATGACGCATTCAAGATATCCGTCTAGCAACAAAAGGACGGGTTTACTGTGCAGCAGTTCGCTCCGTCCTACGCTATGGCAGTGAAACATGGCCGATAAGAGTAGAGGATATTCGTAGGCTACTAGTGTTCGATCATAGGTGTCTTCGAAGCATTGCTCGTATATCCTGGGACCACCGGGTAAGCAATGCAGCTGTTAGGAAACGAGTACTAGGTAGGGATGGCAAATCGATTGATGAAGTAGTGAAACTTCATCAGTTGAGATGGCTGGGACACGTGTTACGTATGCTTAACCACCGACTGCCCCGACGTGCAATGTTTTATGGTGTAGGAGTAGGTTGGAAAAAAGCTAGGGGTGGCCAGACCAAAACGTGGCACAAATCATTGAAGTCACTGACAAGTGGACTGGGCCATGTTGGTAGGTGTAGACTACCTTGTTGGGATTAGCGAGACGATAGCAACCGATGGTTAGAGACCTTGAATGATATGGCTCAAAATCGTTTGCAATGTCGAAGGTGCATCCACTCTTTGTGTTCTACCAAATTCTAATCTTCTGAATTCCTCATGTCTTTATCTTTTTCTCTTTCCAAATTTATTTCAATGCCCTATACTCCTTCAATAATTTCTTCAAACCCTAATCTTTTGGATTTCTGATTATACTCCTACTACTTCTACCACTATGGGATTCGAATCGACAACTTCATCTTTGTGTTAATGTGGTATGGCAACTCGAACTGATGTACGTACGTACGAAGTTCTACGTTGTGACTGATTGACTGACGGATTAGTAATAGTAAAGATTTGAATCAGAAGGGGTTTTGTGAAGATTTAAGTATTTTCATAGTTGAAATCATGAGTCAGTTGAAGCTACACCACCATGGAAAATGTGGAAGCACTGGACGGCCGTTTCGTCCTATTGTGGGACTCCTCAGCAATGCGCACCCACGATCCCACCTCACGAGATTCGAACCTAGGACTTACCAGTCTGACGCCAGAGCACTTAACCGATAGACCACTGCTGAGGAGTCCCATAGTAACAGCCGTCAAGCAGTGCTTCCAGGTTTTCCATGGTGGTTTACCTTCAATTGACTCATGATTTCAACTATGAAAGTAAAGATTTGATTTGATTGTTAGATGTTATATATTTCTTTGGTGATTTTGATTATTACCCTGAAGAAATCTAGACAAGTTTGTTGGACGAAATGGGCGCCCAATTGTCAAATGTATACTGGGAAAGATGGCTCACATAATTCCGGGCATAAGTGAACAAACATTAGTCACTTCATCAAACTGCTCACATTCAGACAAGTCACACATCCACACTAGATACACTACATTTCTCTTATAATAACAATAAAAAATGATCTGTTTTATACGCCTTTTACCCCTCCTCTACGAGGGGTAAAAGGTGTAATGTAAAGTTTATACTCAAGATATTAAGTTTTCACTTTATCTGTATTTAATTGCAGACTTAAAATACGATA